GGGGGTAGGGTGGTGGGGGTAGGTTTTATGGCGGCATCCAACTGCGCTTGCTATGGCTATGGCTATGGCTCAACGAGGAGGAGGAGGAGGAGGAGGAGGAGGAGGAGGAGAAGGAGAAGAAGAATCCGAGATGAAAAGAAGAAGAAGAAGAAGAAGAAGAAGAAGAAGAAGAAGAAGAAGAGGACGAGGAGGAGGTGGAGGAGAAGAAGAAGAAGAAGAAGAAGAAGAAGAAGAAGAAGAAGAAGAAGAAGAAGAAGAAGAAGAAGAAGAGGACGAGGAGGAGGAGAAGAAGAAGAGGAGGAGGAGGAGGAGGGAAAAAGATGAAGAACAAGAGGGTGATGAGGAGAAGAACAAGAAGAAGAGGAGGAGGAGGGAAACAGATGATGAGGATGAGGAGGAGGAAGAGAAGAAGAAGAGGAAGAAGAAGAAGAAGCGGAGGAGGAGGAGGAGGAGGAGGAGAAGAAGAAGAGGATGACTCGGGAAAAAGATGAAGAAGAAGAGGACGAGGAGAGGAGGAAAAAGATGATGAGGACGAGGACAAGGAGGAAGAGAAGAAGAAAAAAGAAGAGGAAGGAGGAGGAGGAGGAGGAGGAGAAGAAGAAGACGAAGAAGAGGAGGAGGAGAAGAAAAAGACAAAGAAGAGGAAGAGGAGGAGGAGGAGAGGAAGAAGAAGAAGAAGAAGAAGAAGAAGAAGAAGAAGAAAAAGAAGAATAAGAGGAGGCGGAGCGCTGGTGGACTTACCTTCGCGGCTATGGGGGGCTGTTGCGACAAAGCGGGCTGGCGGGGCGAAGCAGCTGCACACAGAGGTTGATGGCAGGCTGGAGACGGGGCGCTGGCACTGGTCGCGTGGTGGCAGCATTCAACGTCGACGTGCATGCTGAATGGCACGACGTCAACGTTGTGTGATGTTGCTGTAGAATGGGGCAGGCCGGGCGGAGGGGCGGAGGCAGCGCAAAACCACGCTGCGATTCACATTTCAAAACGCGGCCGATTTCGGCCGCAGATCCGCAGATCTGTGGTCGACATCGACCGCGTTTTCAAATTTGGAAACCGGGGCCTAACGGACCCCCTTTTTTTTTGGAAACGGGCGGTCGATCTCCACTGTCGATCTGCGCCGATCGGCCGCAGAGATTGGCCGCGCGTTCTCAAAAGAAAACGGGGTCCGGTAGGGCCCGTTCTTTTTTTCACTTGTGGCAGCGGCCTCTCAAAGGCTGGGCGGGGACGGGGACGCCCGAAAATCCCCCGTACCGCCCCCCGAAAGGAGTGCGCCAAATCGAACCGACGGTCTGCCGGGCCAGTGAACCGCCCCGTTCGACCGGTAGGCTCCTGGTCCGTCGAAGGTCCCCCGGTCCATCCGGGACCGGCACTGGTTCATGTTGAATTTGGTAAGGAATTTCGATGTGACTCTGAGGCAAAAGTTGTTCATAACATCCTTATAAAAAAGGGCAAGAAAAAGGTTTTCCAGTTTCTTATTCTGCATAACACAGGTTCTTTTCCCCAGATTCTTCTTCTTCTTTTTTTTTTTTTTGGGGTAGGGATATCGCTTGCTCCTTCCCTGGCCGGGCTGCCCAGGTAACCAAGGTGAACCGGCCAGCTCGATTGGTAGCCCAGGCAGACGGCCTGCGCCTTTCTGCAAGATATCCACGTGTTATAATTCAACACCGGCGCGGAGGTACTTGTGTTCCTCACTTTACAAACGAAAGAGTAGAGTGTCTACAAAGTTACAGGCACATAAAGAATGATCAGGGGAGAAAAAAAAAAAAAGTAAAAAAAGTTAAAACTTAAAAGATTGAACTGCCACAATAAAAAATGATAAAATCTTATTCAGATACCCCAAGAAAATCTCATGACCTGGGTTTCGGTCTCACAATCAAACGATGAGTGTGCACAGTCCTTTGGGACATCTGCTAAAATTGGAACGATACAGAGACGCTCTATTAGCAAGGCCCCTACGCAAGGATGCCAGCGCGTAAGTCGGGAAATGGTCCAAATTGAAGAAGACAAAAAAAAAAAAAAAAAAACAGGAAAAAAGGGCACACTGAGAAGCTCGATTAGCATGGCCCCTACGTAAGGATGGCAGCGCATAAGTCGAGAAATGGTCCAAATTGAAGAAGACGAAGAAGAAAAAAAAAAACAAGGAAAAGAGGACACACACTGCAGCTTTCTGTCAAAACTTGCCTACCTTGGTGGAGATGTGCAGGACAAAGAAGAGCAGCGCCAAGTATGTTCCAATAGCAAGCATGATCAACAGATCAAACGCAACACTGGCGACCTGCGCACATCGCATCCAAGCGAGAAATCAACTGGCCCAGTTACATACCATCCAGGAATTATGAAAGGACTTTTGAATACTTTTTATCCTTCCTTCACCATCCACGAATTATGACAAACAAATCCTGTTTGTTGCTGGCCTCCTCGTCTTCACGACGGGGCAACCGATGACCGTAT